TCTCTCTCTCTCTCTCTCTCTCACACACACACACACACACACACACACACACTCACTCTGACATTAAACACGTGCCGAACAGATGGCTGTACCCGATGTTCATCCGTGGCCTCAAACGGGACGTCCAAATGTCCGACTTATACAAGTGTCCCGACAGTGATGTCTGCGAAAAACTTGTTCACAAACTCGAAAAGTAATGCAAAAAACCAATACTAAAACATAACCACAAAAAACAAAACATTTCTTTGAAACTAATTATAAAACTTTTTTGCGGCAAAACTCCTATTTTTGAAAGCAATTGGAATCGAGAGCTAACGAAAAAGAGCCCCAGTTTTATGCGGGCGACGGTCAAGACATTCATCGGACCATTAGTGCCATCATTTATACTCATTTTCATCGGGGTATTCATTATCTCATTATTATAACTTTTAATTACATCTATAATAATTACCCTATGATTGAGGCATAAAATACTCGTTATAAATAATAGTAATATAAGGTTTCCTAATTAGAGCACATCTATTGTAATATCAAATTATAGTTAGAAAAAGGTGATAATTGATAAACTTATGCACTAACTGTAAGTGTGTTTTACAAACAATAATAATAAGCCGTAAAAATTAGTTGTAAAGTAAACACTGATAAACAAAAAATGTTCACAAAAAACAGATTATAATTTCTAAATGCCTACAGAATATGCATGAAAGTGTAATATATTGTAAACATTGAATTCTATGATAACCTTAAGGAGTGTGTCATCGATAACGGAAAGACCATTTTATTGGGATATGTGTTGCGGTTCTTCGCCAACCCGGAGACCGAGAGCTTGTGGAGGGCGAGTGTGTTCGCGGGCGCACTGGTGGCCAGTTCTCTCATATTCATATCTTTCTTACATCCGGCCTTTTTCCTCGCCTACAGAGTGGCCGTTAAAATAAGAGTTTGTTGGTGTGCTCTCATGTACAAGAAGGTGAGTTTACATTTCAATTTTATCATGTTCATTGTATTGCTAATCATTCAGTTAACACTTGTTATCAATTAAATCAAATTTCAATATAATTCTCACTCTATATGTCACTCACACAATACCACAACGGATAGGCCTTAAAACTAAAGCACTCGGCTTTTGGTAAGACAACAATCGGACAGATATTGAACTTAATGTCCAACGATGTGAGCCGTTTGGATGATGTATGTGTTGTCACCGATAATAACATCTAATTGATTACCCCATCACTCACTCACTGCCTATCCTAACAGTACAGCCAATTCTGTTCGTATCTGATTGTGGGCCCCATAAACACCATAATCGGTGTTTACATCTGTTGGCAATATATCGGTTGGGTTTCACTCATAGGACTCGCAATA